TCTTTTTTGGATTCACAATCCTAAACATCTACTAATAAAAATCTGTCTAACTGGGGGAAAGGCAATAAAGGTGGTGCCCTTGGCTCTCTGACACTGGAAGTGGGCTATGGAGTCTACATTTTCCCTTCAAAAATGGCCTTTGCAAATTGTAAATTATAAGAGCCAGTCACTACACTACGCACCCATGCGCCTCGCATTGCCCCTACAGAGTTCTGACATTCCCTTGGCTCCAGAAGAGTGACCAGCTTCCCTTTTGAACCAGCTGTGGCCTTTGCAGTACAGTAGCTAATCACCACATAAAGATCACATAACCTTCCAACCACACTGCTCACAGCGCCACCCCACAAGTCTCTGGTGCTCCCTCCGCTTCAAGAGAGGCACTGAAGAGCCCCTGGTTTGCCCTGCCCACGGCATTTACCAATTTTAAAAGCTGAGAGCAGACTTTTAAAGTACCCAGACAAGAGCTCATTACCCAAGAGTCCCTGCTTGGTGCCCTTCCTTGGCTTGTAGATAATGCCAAAGATGCTGATGCAACAGGAAGACGTATTTTTTGCATGGCAGAAGAGTTTGGAAGGGTGTTTTCTGAGCAGGTGTAGCATGGGTCACATCAAGCCGTATGCTCACTGGGATGGGGGGCAGCCGGCACGTGCCACAGACAGCGCATCCCCAGCAGGGACCATGATGAAACAATGAGCCTGCATTCCTGCGGCAGGGCCCACTGTGCTGCTGGACAGGCAGCCGGCATGTTGCAGGCATTCCCCAGGCCCCACACCTGGATTGTGGCAGGGACCAGAAGCCCAGCTCCACCTGGGTTCGGGCAGCAGCCCCAAGAGGGAGCCAGCAACCAGTGCACAGAGTACTGCCTGAGGGTCAGAGGCAACAGCTGCGGATGGTAATGAGCCTCTTAGGAGCTCCTAGCACCTGCCAACAGCTGGCAGCCATGTGGGGTCGAACAAGGAACTTGACTGGCCCAGGCCAACCTGGAAACTCCCACATAAGGACATGGCAATTGCAGGGCTGGTGGGAACACACAGATGAATGAGGACACTCACCGTGTTTTCCCTGGAGGCAGGAGTTCAGGAGCCTGAGACGTAGAACTCTAAAACCCTCCAAACTGATGCTGGATCACTGTATGATGCAGAGTGACCAGGCACCACTCAGGGCTAAGCCACAGTTTGTGCCATCCCTGGCCCCACATTACCCTGGGGGTCTGCTGGGGACTGGCAGGCCCATATAGACTCAGTCA